GCAGGCGCAAGGTGCATTTGGGATCCACTGAAATGAATGGCACCACAATGCACCTCCTGCAGCAAAATTTGCCAGGCCGAAACTGAAAAGGACTTTTCCCACCTTTTATATATTTTTTTAAATAATTGTATGTATATTAGACATTTTAATTAGTTTCATGGATATAAAATAAATGTGAATTGTAAAACTCTAAGCCAATAAAATAACCAACTTTTTTTTTTTTTAAAGAACACAAAAAAAAATATATTTTTAATTTTACTTTATTGAACTTTATTTATTTCATTGTTGGTAGTATCAGCCAGCCAGGAGGGGTGCAGAAGAGGAGCGGAGGGGGGCAGAAGAGGAATGGGGCAGCAGAGGAGGCACAGGGGGCAGCGGGGAAATGCAGTCACATCGGTCTCTCCTCCCCGTTGGTGCCGGCTGCGCTGGTCTGTGTCACCGCTGCCCCTGCCTCTACAGCAGGGAGAGCAGCAGGGATTGAAAAGGACACAAGACTGCAGCAGCCAGCACCAGCGGGGAGCAGCAGAGCAGTGTCAACTAATCGATGATGAGAATCGGTCAACTGAACTAAAAAAAAAAAAACAACAAAAACACACATATCACACACTTTAAAAAAAAAACACATCACACACATTAAAATGCATATTAAAATTGATCATTTTAAAATTGCCCCTCCTCCTGCTTACCTGTTTTGCAGGGAGGGGGCTGCATTCCTGCGGTCCAGTGGGGCACTCGTGGATTATCCTGGTGATCAAGTGGAGGGCGAGTGTGAGCTGCACCTCCGGCTGATTCAGACCATACTAATCGCTCCTGCCTGTGAGTGCCTGCCTCACGAGGGAGCGATTAGCATGGTCTACATCAGCAAGAGATGCGGATCATACTGATCCTGCACTGGACCACCATGAAATAATTCCAATTTAATATATTGTCCGCTCAGCAATATATTAAATAGGTTTAACCCCTTAATGGCCAGTGACATCCATAGTACGTCACTGGCATCAGGCCCGTTTAGACAGACAAAATTTGGGGGTTTGATAAGGAGTTGTGCTAATATCGTGCAACATAAACATTTGCAACTGACAACATTTTATTCTATAGGGTCTTGGCTTTCAGAAAATATACAAGTGAGAGGTGTCGGGAGAGAGAGGTGTCGGGAGAGAGAGGTGTCGGGAGAGGAGAGAGAGCCATAAGGCCCGGTTCACACCTGGGCGTTTTACAGCGCGTTCCTACGCACTGTAAAACGCTCAACATGTGAAAACCAATGATTGCCTAAGGCATGGTTCCCACGTGGGCATTTTACAGCGCGTAGGAACGCGCTGCAAAACGCCCTACGCCCCAAAGAAGTACAGGAGCTTCTTTGGGGCATATTTGCCGCGTGTATCCATTAAGATACAGCCGGATAGCCCTCGGAAACGCGCGTTTGTCGCAAGATTCTTTTACTGCAAAACGTGGTGCAAACGCGCATATTCCGTATGCCTAGGTGTGAACCCAGCCTTAAGCATATCATTATCAAGAAAGAAAAACACATGTGGGAGTTAATCTTAGAAAATATTTTTAGACTAAAGTTATAACTTATTCGCAGTGGAGATAAATCAAAACAAAATCATTTTATTGTCAACGTTTTAACACTAGTCTTTGCTTGGACTTGCCTCTGCTCAAAGACCCGTGAATGCCTTCACAAGCGCTAATGTGGAGTGTTCAGGTTTACATACACTTTAAATTTACAATTCACACATACAAACCTTAACAGATTTTGTAACCAAACTGCAGATGAACTCCACAAAGCCCATGTCTGTGTAACAATGTGTGATTAGAGTACTTCTGGCCAGCGGGACACCTGGTTTCTGCAGAAGGAAGCATGATACATTATTCAGCCGTAAAAGTAATCCACATTTAAAATAACATACTAATCAGCAGCGGTCTAGTGACAGACATGGCATCAGTTTCATACCATTACAGAGATGGCATCAGTTTTCTACTATCACATTCCACCATAGTTCCTACTACAGTTATACAGTACATGGAAACCATAAAACAATCACTTGCAGTATCGGCTAACCAAAAACATTACAACATAATTGAGGCATTCAAACTGTTCTACCATTTTCCTGTGCCATCAATCGTTTTGAAAGTCTAAAAACAGGCTTAAAGGTGAATACGCCATATATTTATGATTGTTAACTATTAAATGTAGTTGAAGTAAAATATCCAAACTAGGGATGCACCGATGCTAATATCGGTGCAGATACCGAATATTTAGGCGAGTACTCGTACTCGCCCAAATGCTCCGATACCTAGCCCGATACCCCAGATTCCTGATTGGCGGGGAAACCGGCTTCCATGCTCCCTTGTCGATGAGGGAGCATGGAGTCGATTTCCCGGCCAATTTACACACCGCCCACCTTCCCGGCTAATCAGGAAGCCAGGTTGGCGACTCATTACACACCGCCTGGCTTCCTCAATTGGGACTTCTGGTATTAGAATTCGGTATTGGCGCGTACCGAAAAAAGTATCGGTACTCGTACTCCATACTGAAAAAATGGTGCATCCCTAATCAAAACAGTATATTCTACCATTTAAATTTTTGTGCAAAAAATAAAGGGTGAAACCAAACTTTGGTTGTGACCCAAAAGTGGGACCCGCCCCCCATATTCAGTGGGTCACCGCATGCCATCCACTGACTGAAGCTGGAGACTCATCCTCACTACCAAAAGCTTCTGGGCCAGAGGTCACAGGAGTAGCCTGATCCAACACATTGGTCACATCATCAGACTTGTCCGAAGGAACCGGAGAGGTGGAGGGCAAAGAACGCTATTAGGTGGATTACCGAGTCAAAGCTCCTTCGATACGCGACAAAACCATCCATGGCCTCAAATGAGAGCACGCTACCCAATTCAAGTGGAGGCCCTGCAGGAAGTCCCGAAGGGGACGCACAAGAACGAGGACAGCGATGCAGACATGCACGCACGAGAGGGAAGCAGAGGTGTCCTCCCCGGAAAGCCCACACACGTCAAAAGGCGAAGTGCAATCCCTACGATCCTCCCTAGCCCCAGAAGCTTGCTCAGCCATGGAAAACTACTGGAGACCACTAGATGCCAGCAGGCAGAGGGAAAAAATCACCACAGGGTACTCACACCATCCACATGTCCTCCAGCAGCCACAGACCACATGCCCCCACTAAGCGCCAGCTGAAAATGCAGGCAAGCAGAAGGGAAGAGTGCCCAAAACAAAGATGGCCGCAGCCATCCTGAAATAGGCCGCAGGCCTGCAGCCTCAAGCAGTCATCCCCCTGGGCAACGATCAGCTTCTGCCACCAGCAGGGGGCCAAGGCAGTAAACCCCAAACCCACCTCAATGCATGCACAAGGAGATAGCAGCCACCCACCATAAAAATGGCCTCTGCTCTCCGCCGCTCCAGGCAGCAAGCCGAGGCCTTGATTAGCGGCCTGCCGCCATCCTCAATTAGGCCCGTGGCCTCAAGAAGCTAGCCCCCATCCCCCCCTAGGCAACAAGCAACTTCTGCCATCAGCTGGGGAATTGAGGCAGATAGGCCAAAAAAAAAAACCCCTCCAGGTATGCATGTTCAAGTAAGGACCACCCACATTAAATATGGCTGCCGCTCAACGCGGCCTCGATTAGCGGCCCGCTAAATACAACAAGCGGCACCATACTAGCCCCTCTGCCGCAGCAGCACAGCACATCCCATGGAGGGCCAAGCAGACAACAGCAGTATGCCTGTAAGGAAAAAACATTGCAGCAGCAGCAAGGCCGCAGCCTCAATTATTGCCCTTGCAGCAGCAGCCAGCCAGATCCTTATACTGCGAATGATCCATCACCTGTAGTGCCGCTATGGGAGGATAAGAGGTCCCAGCACTCAAAGACTAATGGAGGCAGCAGACATTCAGCGAGACACCAAAACCCCCAGCACTACCACCATTGCCAACACCAGGCAGGCTGATTCAAGGGGCAGACATAGATGCCCTCCTATACCAGAGCGGGCTACTGTGACCGGGCGGCCGAGACTCCCAGTCATATGTACCACCACAGAGTATATGTGCCGTCACGAGGATCTGCATGCCTTTGCTGGCCAGGCTGGGTAGGACTCCAAGGATCTAAATCATCCAGCATATGTGGCAGTTGCTTGAAGATCCGCTGAGCACAACAACAACAACAACAACAACAACAACAACAACAAAAAACAACAGAAAGAAAAAACAAAAAACTACCAAAGGAACCAGAGCACTGATTCCTAGGTCCTAATTCCTGACGCTTTCTATTTTAAACAAAGATTCTCTTTACAGTCCTTCCCTGCCACGGGCCTTGAAAATAGTCAGTACCTCTGGGTATGAGTCAATGTGTGAGACTCTCCCCTTACCCCCACTAAGCCTACAATGAGCTTTCTACTTGGGACACTGCTGTGCAAACATGGAGAATGTGTGGAAAGCAAAAGGGGGAATGCTTCAAAGAGAAACAATTACTTTGCTCAAAATGAGCAAAAATTATAGGTTCACTTTAAAAAGGACAGATGGAAGCTATATTAGACCTAAATTTGGCAATATGGAAGTTAAATATGCTTGGTGTAATACAAGAAAACATTTATTCATGTCACAAAAAGATGCAAATTTAGGGTTTGTTCAGCGCTTTGCCAAGTGTTCACCAAATAGCCCACATTTATCTATTGTGCATCTCTGGCCACAAAATGTTTTTACACCAATCTCCTGTGAGTTTTTTTAGTTTGCGCTTTGTGATATCAAGAATTACCTGGATTGAATGCAGCCAGTGCCATTTATGAGTTGGGCTTGAGATCTTGAAAAGCTGAATTACCCGTACGAACACTTTGGTTTCATGATAGGGCAGAGCACACCCTATCAGACTGTCTTGATTGTAAAGGTGTATATGGAACCTAGGACAAAATCAAAATACAATGTTATATGCATGAACACTGTTGAAGGTACCAAACAAGCAAAATAAAAAACCACAGACAGCTGAAAATTCTGTGCATCCATACCTTCATACAAAAGTATGCATACTTCCATACAAAGTACACATTCTGAATTCTACGGCTTTTAGTATGGATGCACCAAAATGTTGTCCGCCAAAACATTTAGGCAGAAAATGGTACTTTGGGCAAAATGCAGAAAGTACCATAGTGGCTGAAAATTAAGGGCATCCCTGGCTCCTCCTCCACCCCACTGGGAGCCTTTCTGTGGTAGGGAGGGGGGGGGGGGAAATCAGTTTTTTTTCCAAAGCCGTTTTTGTTTCTTTCTGGAAAAATTTAAATAAAAAAAATACGAAAAGTGTGTGGACTATGTTCTTTTACAATGATAAATAATATATCTTTGACATGGTACTTAAACTATATAACATGAAGACCTTAATGAAAGTTCTGAGACTTTATATAACATTTTGTTGCCATCCAATACATGCTGCTGCAAATCTACTGGATCTAAAATGCAAAGGCAGTGATGTTGAGAGTGATGAGAATACAGCTGCATTTGACTGGATTACAAAACAAGCTGCACAATATTATTATTATAATACAGGATTTATATAGTGCCATCAGGACTTGATATTGTAAAAGTACTATCAAATGTTGCAGAATATAGAACATCTTCAGTTATTTGGGCCAGGAATACAGTCTGGGAATCTGCAAAACATATCCCTCCTGTAACATGGTGGCAAGGTCTCTGCACAACACAACCTTTGACACCTCTTACATCTCGCTAGATTCCTGCATCTTCTGCAGCACGTGAAAGAATCTGGTCTATGTTTGGTAATATTCATACCAAATTCTTGATGACCTTTGAAAGGGTAGAAAAGCTTGCTTCTATCCGTGCAAACCTTAGGTTTTTAGAAGTCCATTAAAACTTGCATGTATTTGTTGTGTCTTCTTTCCTTTTCTCAATTTTTTAAAGCACCACTACAAAGTTAACCACTTGAAGACCAGGGTGTTAAACCCCCTTCCTGTCCAAGCCATTTTTCAGTATTCAGCGCTGCGGTACTTTCACTGGCATTTATTCCGTCATGCAACGCTGTACTGAAATTAATTTTATTCAATTTTTTGGGGACAGATAGAGCTTTCTTTTGGTGGTATTTAATCTCCACTGGGGGTTTTATTTACTATATACTATTATTTTACTATAGTAAGGAAAAATTACCCAAAAATGTAAAAAATAAACTGTTTCCCCTATATTAAATTATAAAACATTTTTATTACAGTGACAAAGTCCCTTGGAGAACAGAACAGTAAGCATAGTGCCCTTACAGTGAGAACGGACTCCCATAGTGTGCCCACTGAGATGGGAGAAGCACCATATACCACATACATACAGTGTAGGGGAAAAGGTGACAAAAAGAACCCCTGCATACCACACCACTGCCCAGGAGAAAGGTTCTGGGCAGTGGTGTGGTGACTGACTGGTCATGTGTGTGCCCAGCAGCAAATAATACAGGTAATGCCTTACCAGGGTTGTCACAGTCTATTCCTGTTCTGAGAAAAGAACACACGTGCTAAATTGATGCAACTGGGAAGACTACACGGATCTATATCAGGGGTAGCCAAACTCCGGCCCTCCAGCTGTGGTGGAACTACAAATCCCATGAGGCATTGCAAGATTCTCACAGCCACAGACATAACTCCTGGAGAGAGATGCATCATGGGATTTGTAGTTTCACCACAGCTGGAGGGCCGGAGTTTGTCAACCCCTGATCTATATTGTCCGACCTCTAACCCAGCCAGCAGATTAATAAAAGATCATCCTTTGTGGTATAGATCAATAAAAAATGGATTTCTCCCGTGGAAGCAAAATAGGTCTTAACTTTGTTCATTTGGACAAAATTTTGGGCTCTTCAGGAAGTGAGGGGGTTTAGGCCACCTTTACGATGGCGTTCTGTATTTAGTATCCAAATCCTGCAGTTAGCAGTATAACCCAATCAAGAAGAATAGAGAAAGCTATGTCCATGAGTGAACAGAGAAAACACATTTGAGCAGTGTTGGAAAGGCGCAGTGTTTTTTGTTGTAGCTTGTGCAAAATTATAGCAAACAAAAATCTCCCCAGTTAGGGCACATACATAAAAACAGAAATGCGTAACTTTTCTTCGCTGTATCCAAAAACTAAGAACGAAATGGCTGGAAATAGGCTTTAAAAACAGGACAGAGCAAAGTTGGAAGACATGTATGTCCTGCACACTAGAAAGAAAACACAAGTTACACTAAGATGTACTAACCTGTGGATGAGCCACTCTAGGCACTTCTGGGCTGGTTTGAGCATAAAGTATGGCGATAGATGTATGAGAAACAAGGAAATGTTTTCATCCAACTGCTGATTAACGGCTTTGGTTTGGACACTACGCTCCAGATTTTTCGAAGTACTACTAAACAGAGTTTCCTCAAAAGCTTTAAAGGAGGAGTCAATTCCCATTAGCTCATCAAGACCTGTACATCCTTTAAAAACAAAGAAAAAAAAATGGTTATCTGGTTGAATGAATGCATTTGTACAAATTACGAATCCTAATTGTTTCAACTATCACATCTAACAGGATATAAAATTTGCAAACTGCCAACTCTAGCATGCAGGAAAACAGACTTTTTCTGACACTCTTTTACCCAAATTGTTGAAAGGCCCTGAGAGTTTAGATTAAAGTGTCAAGCAAAAACATTTTTTCTTAGTTTTGGATGGGGTGGGAAGAGACAGAGCCACTGTTTATTACTGCTTTCCCAGGCTCCATTAGAGATATTCACCTAAATTCCTGTTATGCTGACAATGTTTTAACAAGACAGTGAGGGGAACGCTTCAAAAGCAGCAAACCTTTTTTTTTTTTAGTAGAGTAGGGGAATGCTAGAGTTACTGTTATATTTGTATGTCTTTTTTATATTTCTTTCCCCAGCCCCATATGCCAAATAATTAATGATTTTTTTTTTAAATATACATATACATATTAGAGGTGCACCGAAATGAGAAAAAAAAAATGGTCATGGACCTGTTTAGCACCGTGCAGCTAACACAACAGCGGCTGACACAGGATCCAGCACATAATACTTCAGGCAAGCACTGCATTTCCAGGAGTAGTCCGACTACAGTCTCCCAACCAATCAGAAAGGTAGCTGCAGTGGCTATGAGCTGCAAGAACTGGCTAGAATAATTTTGACTGGAAAAATTCCATAAAAAAGGAGGTAAGCTTCTGCCAGAGAGAAGATCATTTTCATCTAAAAGGCGCAAGCAAAAAACTAAGGTTTGCTGGGAGTGGGATGGGTTATATTAGGGCTGTCCTTGGGGTTGACTGGACACTGCAGAAAATAAACTTTAACCCCTTCGTGACGGGAGACGTACACTGTACGTCCAGCCACAAAGGGACCAAATGACTCGTCACGTACACTGTACGTGACGAGTTATTTGCTGCACTAGAAGGCTGCTAACCGCTGAGAATCAGCGGTTACCTTTCAGTAATAGATGTCTAACTATCTAGAGATCCATTACTGAAAGGGTTAACCTTTTTCAGACACCCGATACCTTAATATCGGGTGTCTGAGAGTCACAGCAAAGCAGACACACGTGTCGGCTTTTGCCGGCATTCTGACAGCTCGTATAGATCGAGAGATATCTCTCTCAAGCTATACTGGCTTTTTTTTTTTTTTTCTTTTGACTTTCAAGAATAGATACAAAATGTTATGTATTAGACACATAATGTATCTATTCTTGAAAGTAGAATGTTTAAGTTTTCTGAAACATTCACTGACAGCTGAATCCTGAACTGCTGCAGGATCAGTGTCACTAACTTATTATCGGCTGTTCTGAAGTTTGAAGCAGCCTGATAATAAAAAAAAATGTATTAATTTATCAAGCAGTAATAGTGAGATTAATTCACAATGACTGCCTGATATAATTAAATAAATAAAATTTGTCAGTATAAAAAAAGTGAAAAGTGTAAATAAATTTAAAAAAATTGTGAAAAGTGTAAAAAAATTAAAAATAAGGGACAAATAAATGAATGTATGTATTGCATTTTTTTTTAGCTGTGCTGGTTTTGTTAAAAAAAAATACTACAAATCAAAACTGGGAAAAAAAGTTTTTTTTTACGTTTTTTCCTCTTTTTTTAATTTGTATTTGTCCTAAGTGAGGCGTTAGACACACATATGTGATATAAATATATAGCCCTATCTGTCCTCTAAAAAACAATATATAATATGTGTGGGTGCACTTTGTAAGAAAGTATATTACTGACGTGGAAGAATCACACAGCAAAAATGTCAAAAGTGTGTCAGTCATTTACGAACAGAAACCAAAAACAAGCTCAGTCATGAAGGGGTTAAAGATGGCAGTAACTAGGGATGCACCGATACTAGTATCAGTATCGCTGCCAATACCGAGTATTGGGGCGAGTACTCATACTCGCACAAATGCTCCGATGCCTAGCCCGATAGTTCCTCTATCAGGAAGCTGGGCAGCGCGTCAGTACACGCTGCCCGGCTTCCTGATTGGCCAGAAAGCCGGCTCCATGCTCCCTTGTCACTTGTGAAGCTGGCCAATCAGGAAGCCAGGTGCCGTGTAATGACGCAGCGCCCGGCTTTCTGATTGGCCGGGAAGCCGACTTCATGCTCAGTCACCTCATGACGAGAGAGCATGGAGGCGGCTTCCTTGTTAATCAGGAAGCCGGGTGGCGAGTCTTTACACGCTGCCCGGCTTCCTGAATGGGACTTCCAGTACTCGGTATTGGCGAGTACCGAAAAAAACTCGGTAGATCCCTAGCAGTAACCTATGGTTAAGATTGATTCTCTGCTGTCCGACTAGATAAACACACACAATATATACACATCTCTCAATCATACACGCACACATCTTTCCCTACAAGCTTTGTTTTTCTTTTTTTGAAATGTCACTATTGGCACGAGGGAAATGAAGAATTCCCAGTTAGACTTACTGGTAACAGTAGTTCTAGGAATCCTCAAGAACAGCTACATGAGAGAGCTACAGGAAACCCAAACACTTTAAAACCCCTCCACTCCGCTGTGAGGAAAATATATGTATACTATACTTTAGGGTAGGACAACCGCTTGCAAGAGCTTCCCGCTGAACGTTAGGTCCTGCTGATAAAGCAGTTCCACCCTATAGTGCTTCAGGAAGATGCATTGACTCAACCAAAAGTACTGTCTTGCAGATCTGATCCTCTGTGGCATCCGCTGTCTCTGCCCAGGAGGTAGTTTGGTAGAATGTGCCCTCAAATTCTGTGGGGGTTCTAGTCCTTCCTTCTTGTATGTAAAACATTGTTTCACTTACCCTCCTACCTACTGAGCTTTTAGATGCTTAGGGTCCCATTTTCTGCCCACTGAAATCCGTTCTAAAAGCTCTAGTTACATCTAGTTGCAATTTTTTATGTTGCACGGTATGTTTATCAAACAAGTATTTTTAGGATAAAATACACTAAAATGAAATTTAGTGCACAGAAACAGAATATAATACCCAATCTTTTTTAAAAAGATACCAAACAAGTCAAGCCTTAAAATTGCATGCGTCCATGAAACTTAGTGAAAAGCACTCACCTCATAGTTCTCCTTTAAACACTTTTACGGCCCATCAGTTTAGTGCTAACAGTGATTGATGGGCCTAGAATTATTGCTCTCACTCGGACACTCGCGATGATATGTAACATGTGCGGCTCGATTTTTCTTTTTGCACGTAGGCACATCCGACGTTTGTTTGCGTAGTATGTGCTTGCACGTGGGGGGCGGGGGACTTAATTACTTTAACCACTTCAAGACCAGGTGTTTAGACCCCCTTCCTGGCCAGGCCATTTTTCAGTACACTCAGCTTTATTGCTATTGCATAGGGGGCTAACAAGCCCTCTAGGTAATAGCAAATATGTGACAGTTCTTCTTTATGGAAACATCAGGGGTCTTTCAGAAGACCCCAAAGAAGCTGATGAAGCAGAGATTTGCTTCACCGGCTTCTTCTTCTGGCTCTAGGAGCTGGAGAATGTGCCTATTGACACCGGTAGTGATGTAATGCACATCACTTCCTGGTCCAGTTATCGGAGTAGAGATCAGCCTCTGGAAGCCGCTTATCTCCCTCTGATCTGTCAGGGGAGACCTGCCGTGCCGGTCCCAGGCTCACACGGGGGAAAGTGAAGCCGACGGTGGCACCGGCCTGTACAGATGCCGGATCGCTTGTATCTAAACGGCAATCGCCGGCTGTTTAAAACGGCACCAGCTGTGTTCTTGGTATAACCACTTCCAGCAGATGACGTACATTTACGTGACTCCGCTGGAAGTGGTTAATACAGTAGATAAGGCCTGTAAGTGCCCTATCCTTCTTACTGATGTAATGAGCAAGAGGAAAGCCATCTTGAAAGTTAGAAACTTTAATGGACAGTCCTGCAAAGGTTGAAAAGGGGAACAGATTAGGCCCATTAACACCTTTGAAAGATCCCAAGGAGGAAATATCTTTGGCTCCATCAGAGTGCATCTTCCCCATCTTATTAGGGGGTACTCTGCCAGTTTAAAGTCCAAAAACACTAAAAGCACTGAAATCTGCACTTTAAGCGAATCAAGGCCTCCCTGAACTGTCTCAACTTTTGGATTATTGAAGTAATAACAGAGAGGGTAGGCATAAGCCAGATCAAAAGGCCACAGATGGCATCAGTGCATCCACGCCCAAGGTCTTCCTGTTTCAAGAGAAGAAATTGCTCACTTTCCTATTGCCCCAAGATGCAAACAGCTCCACGTTGGGTACCCCCAATTTTACTGCAACTTGCAAAGCTCCTGGTTGAGCTCCCATTCCATCTGAAAAATTACCTGCCTGCTAAGAAAGTCTATTACCACGTTCGAGGACCTCCTGACATGCGCCACCAATATGGAGAAAACATTTACTTCTACCCATGACAATTCTGTGGGCCAGACTCAACAGTTCCAGTGACCTGGTACCCCCATGGTTTATATAGACCACTGCTGTGGCATTGTCAGAGGATCAGGACTTCTTGACCTGTGATGAATTGTTTGAGACAGCATTACTTCCATGATTGCTGCCAATTCCCAAAAGTTGGAAGAAGCTGTGGACAGTCTCTTCCCATCTCCGCTGAACCTGGTGTATGGCAAAATGCGCTCCCGATTCCCAAGAGCTAGCCTATATAGTACTTTTCACTGGCTTGAGCGGTTTCCAAAAGTTCAGAACCACCTAGAGGTAGAAATTTGGTTGACTCCAAAGAATTGGGACCGCATACAGAGAGCGGACCCAACGGAGCATTCTGGAATTGCAACTGTGCCCAGGTCGCTGCTAGAATGTTATGAGGCCCAGAAGGCCCATAATCTGTCTGACTGATATTAGGGGGAGCTGAATCAGCTAAGGGACTGCCGATCTTAATTTGTTTACTTACACCCCCCTTGGTAAATATCCTTGGAGCCGCAGAGAGACCAAACAGAAATTATCAGTGTAGGATCCTATCTGCACCGAAAAACACAGATACTGTTGTAACAGAAAATTAGGAATGTGCAGGTAAGAATCCTCTAAGTCCAACGTGATCAAGTGAGTATCTTTCTATGAAATTTTTCAGATCCAAAGATCCAATGTCTTCCTATCCTGAATCCTTTGTACAACAGACACGTGTTTAGTTTTTCTGAGATTTATCTATCTCCATTTTCCCAATGGTTTGCAAATTAAAGTATACAACCGATGAAACCACTGGTACTTGGGTCCTGGAACTATTACTTTCCGGCCCGCAAAAGCC